CAAGCATTTCGAGGATCTGAAAACAGGATTCCTTCGACGTTACTCTGCACACTCATAAGCGTCACACTCCTAGGCGCACGTGGTTTTAAATCGCTTTTATTTTCAAAAAATAAAACACACATTCATTTTTTAAATGGAATTTCTCTAATTATTTTAACACTTGCCAAAAAAAAAATGCAAGTTGCAATTCTTGTATAATAAATTTTAATTAATTTCTTTAATATATATTGGACATATCGGGAATTTTAATTTCGGCTGGTTCATTGGCCCCTTTAGTCCTGATCCTACGCGGCTGGACGTCGCATCGAGGAGATAACGAAATTAGCCCGGTACTAATTTATTTCCTAATTCTCGCGTGAGCGGAGGTGTGAAACAGTCGTTCCGGGCCAGAGTATCCGCGATAACGGCCAAGTGAGATGGAAAAAGATGCTGGGTTTTAAATGCAGGATGAGCAAAAAAAAAAAAAAAAAAAAATGAGATGGAGAATGAATGAGAGAAACTAAAAAGAGAGAGAGAGAAAGAAAGAGAGAGAGAGAGAAAGAGTGAGTGAACAAGAGGAGAGAGTAGATAATGCGAGAGCAGGAATGCACGCCTACGCTTGCAACGTGTTTTCCCTACATTTGTGTAGGTCTTACGTGAGAACGTGCTAGCGCACATGTGGAATGCAACCATTGCATACTTTTGCAGAATAGTTATGTATCGCAATCGAGGCTCTGCCGAGGCGTTGACACGAGTGTGATCTTTCGTATTCACGGTCGACGATCGAGTCGATTCGTTATTTTCCAAATCGCAATATATTTCTACCCACCTAACATTTATACACATACTCCATCAGAGACTAATAGATACACAAAAGATCCATTATTTATTAATATTCAATAAATAAATATATATATATCTCCTCTAGCCACTAATAGAATCATAAATCAAACAACCAATTGAAAATTAAAATAATTACTATCTTCCTTCTTTAATGAATTACATAAATAATAATACATTATAGCACAAATATGCTAATTTTTATTATTTATTATTACACACTATTAAATGCAAAACTACAAGTTTTTTTTATATCAAATCAAAAAAATAAATAACAATAATTAATCTCCTGTATGTTATAAATTTTGTAATACTATACTACATTATTTTTATATTAATTTCTTTATTTACATCTAATGATTTAATTTATAAAAATATGATTTTTATTAAAAAAAATTGTTTGCCAATTATAAATTAAATAAAATTTGTTTTTTGTAAAATAAATATAGCAGAGAAAGTGCAAATGTATTTTATTCATGCAACTATTGAATTAATTCTCGCTTATTTTCCAGATGGTGATAAGACACAATATTTACATATTATTGACTATACAACTCATTCTCATGTCAGCAAGTTCGATCGGCAATATTGATAGGTCGATATAACTGTAACCTATAAAATATGCATCAAGCAATGATATCACTATATAATAATTGTTTCTCATTCATATGGCTGTTTGATTTATGCTTCCACGATTTCAACAAATATTCTACTATCATTTCAATTTATAATTATTATTATATAAAGTCACACACGGTTTTTATTAAATTTTTTAATTCATTCATTTTTATTTATTTATTTTTTCAAATGTAGAAAAAATTTTTACGTAAATATTAAATTCATTACCAAAAATTATGAAGAAAAAAGTGTACTAAAAAAATTTAAATACAATATATTAAATAAATGAAATTAAACTATTAAAAAACAAATTAGAACTATACTGTTTTTAATATATCTAAATCGTAAAACCCAAGTTTGGTATATTTTTCAGTTAAATCTATAACCTTAATCTTTGTCACGATCATTGAAAAAAAAATAGAAGACTTGAAACTGTTCTCTCACGTTCGATAAAAATGTTTAAATTATGGCCTTTTTAATAGCTGTTTTAATGATAATACTACCATCAAAACACCTACGTATTTTACCACACACGAATATTCTTTTTACTCAATTAGGTAGAATTTCGAGATTTTTGGTGGTTTCCGCCCATTTACTAATTTTCTATCGGTTTCCATTAAAATTCCTTTAAGGCTTATAAACGAGGATTTGTGTGTATATATACATATAGTTAAGATCTAACGCCCTTGGAGATCGGGTTTATTGCTGTCAAGACTACATAACAACGTCTATAAGAAAAGCCCAGGATATTTGGGTCTAACATACGAAAAGTTGGTCGTAAATTAACAAAGAACAAATTTTCCCAATATCGCATCTTACTCAAAAAAAAAAGCTAATTAGAATATCAAAGTTAATCCTTAGAATCATAATAAAAAAACAGCCTTTTTGTCTTTTATCAGCTTCAAAAAGTATAATAATAAATTATTTACAATATAAATAATTGACTAAAAAATGCTAAACGAATTTTCCCATTCGAAAAACAGATGTCAATTTATGATTGAATAGAAAATCATACTACCGGAAACTGTCATTTATCTATTGTTAGAAGTCACGTTTTAATTATAAACTATTGCTTCAAAATGTTTACGAGTTTCTTTGACAAAAAGTATATATATATAACATTTTTCTTTAAATACAATTTGTAAAGGATCTCATATATGTTAATGAATTGTGTATGTGTATATACATAAATAAAGAAAGGGAGAAAGATTGATGAGAACCTCTGGATTAGAATGCTGTCGCAATCAGGATCTTATATGCGTGGTCACAAGTTTAAACAAAAACACTGGTTGAGGTGGTTATAGAGAGAAAAGTACTACCATCTCAATCCATACGCAAATGAGCTGCTTCTTCTTCTTCTTCTTTTCTCAAGAAGATTCCGTGCGTGTAAACCGACAATACACACATATACATTCATAAATACAATGATCATGTCATGCATGGAATCATTTCGTGAGATGAAACCGTACTCTTACTAGGAGGGACAAATCAAAGCCACTCAAAGAAATAACGAGTGCTCATTAAGAGTAATAACCCCCACTTCAATCGTTGTCCCGATTGTTTCAAGGGTGTCACACGGGTTACTATATAGCTGTCCAGCTGCAATGCCACGCACGCATTAGTTTATACTCTTCCTTATTATATATTTCACAGTCTCCTAACAAGATCAGATCGAGCCCTATCAAAAAGTTTCAATTAAATTTGATTTAAGAAACCAAATCCCCCATAAGAATCTCCAATTTAATTACATAATTTAAGGAAGTTTCGTCACAGAACATAATTATGGGAAAGTGAATTAGGGGCCTATTAATTTTCAAGAATTAGATCAGGAAGTTGCCTTTCATTTCTAAATTACGAATTGTAGTACTAAAATATTAACAGTAAACTATTACCTGTACTACAATTACATTGTAATTATAAGAGACATTGCAATTAATTAATTTGATTAGAAAATAAAAAAAAAAATGAAGGCAAAGAATATTTTTTTGTAAATTCTAATTTATGGAGAATTTCAGAGAGTGTGATTAGCGCACACGTCTTTGGCTTTAATAAGTATTAATTCCAGAGGACATAGGGAATGGCCATGTCATCAGAGAATCGAGTAACATCCTCTCTTCTCGAGCATCCTCTTGTTTCGCTCTCCTCCCTCCTCCCTTCACCTTAACCCTACTTCGTCACTGGATAATTACAGGAGAGCGTCCAGCGAATGAGCTGGGGTATCATTAACACTTCCTGCCTCGTAACGACTCTCATCTGGTACACGACGACAACTACAACGCGATATATACCCACGCGCGTCACTACGTAAATCTGTCAACCCATCTAATCGCCTTGAAAAAAATAATTTTGTTTACAATTGACCTTAGCTTTCTTTTAAGTGAATCCAATGACCCTTTCTGATTAACATCTTCATCTACTTCTTACTATACCACTATTTTCAAATAATCACTAATTTCACTCTTCTTTCAATGGACCAAACTTGGATAAATTTAAGAGTAAAATTTCACTCTCTACTCTCTAAATCTGAGTTAGCGACTATTCGCCTTGAATTAGTGACTATTCGCTTTGAATTAGTGACTATTCGCTTATTCCTAGTGCAGAGTATGCAGCTGGGAATAAGTGAATAATCACTCATTGAAAATTCGCTAATTACTAGCGAATAGTCGCTAATTGCTAGCAAATAGTCGCTATTTTGATCAGTTCAGAGTATGCAGCTACGAATAAGCGAATAGTCGCTAATTCAAATTTAGAGAGTACATTTGAATTAGTAAAAATTTTAACTAATTCAAATAGCTGTAATTTAGCAAATGATTAAACATCATAACTTTTTCACTGATTCTAGAAAACAAAAATAACATTCGCACGTCATCATCCTCCTCACAAGTTTTAAATCACTTTCTCAAGTTTAATTGAATTTCTTAATAAAATTGGTTTTTTTTTTTTTGCTATATTTTTTTTAGTGAAAATTCGCATCGCGAAATTATTTCATCAATGCACACACATATGTACGCAGCCTTCGAAACAGATTAATAACTACCAATTTACTTGTCTCGCGGCAAAACAGGTTCTACATAAATTTCCCTCGGGTTATATGCTTGGACATTATTATGACAACGAAGTCGGTACAAATCAATTACGTTGGCCTAATCGGACAGGTTACCTATTTCGAGTTCGAGTAACGGTGATCTTTATAAGTCGCTCCTTCTCTCTCTCTCTCTCTCACACACACACACCGATATAGGATTGGGAAATATAATTAAAGACACACGTGAGTCAACATTAATAGTTGAAAATTATGCGAAAGAAATAATAGTCGAACATCCGGTATTTTGGTTAGGAGTGTGAATACGAACAAATTCCTACATAAGTAATTTGATAAGTTACAATATTCTGACTCAGTGTGATGTCTAACTGCTTGATTAAAATCTTCCGGTTTTTTTTTTTGTGTAATATAATCTGTAGCTATTAATAAAAAAATACAAGCCATTTTTTTTGGCTTGAATTTGAAAATATGAAAAAGAAAGAAAAAAAGTTTTAAAACCGATTTTTCTGTTTTGTTTCAGTAGCGGCTTCAAGTTTGAGCGGAAACGTCACCAGTGGAGGTCTAATGTCACTGCAGGTCGAAGGTGGAACACAAGTTCAAGTGCCACGATCATTAATGCAGGCCTTTCTTCAACAGGATCCAAATCATCCTGGATTAGAGACAGTGCGTCTATCTGGGAATGCTGCCGATGATCCATTGCCATCTCATTGTCGTGAAATCGAGAGTGAGTTGTGCCTCGTGTGTCGCCGTTGTGGTAGAGCTTATCCACAGGAGTCAACATTATTGGCTCATCAACGATCCTGCTATCTTGGCAATCAACAACGACGTGGTGCTTTACGTTTAGTGCAACCGCGTTACGCTTGTAGTTTGTGCGACAGCGGGACATCGACAAGAACTTATGGAACAATCACTGAATTACGACGTCATTTGGAGACGGTTCAACATCGAACGCGTCTTGAGGCTAATCATCATCATCATCATAATCATCAACAACAAATTGGCAAGCAATCTTTACAACAACAAAAACCATTGCAATTGGACAATATTCTTAATAATGTCGCTAATATGCAATCTGGCGAGGAGGCAAATCCATTAATCGACGAAATGGAAGATGTTGTCAACCAGATTACACTTCTTGCTGCTCGTGCCGCTGCCGAGAGCACAACTGGACAGCAGACCAACGGGAATCAGGACAATAACAATGGTCCAGACTCGAAAAGACAAAAACATGTTCAGGAGGTTGCCGCTGTTGCTGGAGCGCGTTAATTTTTTTTTTTTTTTTAGATTACACGAAAAAAGAAGACTACTTTCAAAATTTCGTATACAACAAAATCATATTCGAAATTCAACGAGAGAGAAGAAGAAGATCTCGATATTGTTCGTAACCGGTGGCTCTCTGACAAAAACAAAAAAAAAAAAAACAAAAACTGTTGAATCACTGTGATTCACATGTGTGTGTGTATGTGTTGTGTGACGGACCAATCACACAAAAAAGAGAAAGAAATCGCCTTTTTTTTCTTAAAAGCGCGAAAGGCCTCGTTATCAGTGCACCGCCAGTACCGTGCCCGTTGGCTGTTATTTTTGTAATCAATGTTTCGAGCATGCGCAACATAATTGTGCACTCACTAAAGTTCCTCTGAATTAATTACAAAATACAATGGAAAAATAAAAATTATTAACAATGACTAAAGTGACATTGAGAATGAAAAGAAAAAAATTTTAGCGAGATCGAAGGAGAGACGGATGTGGTGGTGTATAAGACAAGAGTTTGGTTCGAGCGACCGGAAGAAACGTCGAGGCAGTCTGACAAAACGTTCCTATGTAAAGTAATAATAAAAAAGTAAAAAGTAACTAAAAAAAAAAAAAAGTTACGGCATCGTAGGGTAGAAGAACGGCGCGCTAAAGGTCGCCGAGGCCACGAGTACGTACGTATCTCTCTCTCTCTCTCTCTCTCTCTTTATCTATTTCTCTTATTATTTCTACTCTATTTATATTTGAATCGTTTCTTTTGTCCCTTATCCCCCCCCCCCTCTAGAAATAAGTGTGAGAATTGATGTGTCTGTGTAAGAGAATATGTATGAATAACTGCGTGATTCGGTGCGAGAGTAGGGAATTTGCTAAAGAGTCCGTTCAGACTTTGCTTTTCAATTCATTATATCCCGATGAAAGAATCTTTTTGATTCTTTATATACATATATATATATAAATATATAAATATAGAAATTGATTTTTTGATCAGTTTGGACAGGGTGGGAGATTCTCTCAGCTGGGAGGGGCTCTCCTGCCCGTGGAGGTTCGCGATTTTCGAAATCGTGGCTCGTCCAAAGTAAATTAAAATAAAAGGGCCATCCGAGCATGGCTAAAGGAGTTTAAAAAAAAAAACCCAGCGACATGGTTCCTATATTTAATAATAAAATTACATTTAATAAAAGCGAAGAAATGATTAATAATTATAGTTATAAATAAAAAGAAAAAAAAAATTAAAAAAAAGTAACTCTAGTATGGTAGAGGCAAGTATCGATAACGTCTAACGATAAAAGTAATGTTTACAAAAAAAAAAAAGGATCGTGGCAATGTTCATTTTTTTTCTCTACTCGAGTGAGAGTATAATCGAAGGGGGGGGGGGGGGGAATGAATAGGGAATGTGTGTGTATGAACGGAGGTGAGGGATGAACGTATGTAAAATCGTGGTCGAAAAGTAGCGACTAAATATACTTGTGAGAAAAAAAAAAAAAAATAAAACTAAAACCAAAAAAGCGCTAAAGTTTATGAGAACTTGAAACGACAAAAATCACTATTAGCTCATAAGTTACGATAATGCTACGTTTAATTGTGGAAATAATAATGAAAGAAAAAATGATGCATTTGTAGAATGACGCATAGGTATATATATAATATACATATATTATATATATATATATATATAAAATATAAATAATAAATGAATGATTTAATTAATGAATTGATAAATGAACAAAAAAAAATATATATATATATTTAAGTAGATAAATATATATATAAATATAAATATATGAAGATGTTGTAACGTACTAGAATTCTCGCGGGTACTATCCGGATGAACGTATACGCGTACGTACGCGCGTGCGTAAAAAAAAAGAAAATAACTCGCGAAAAAAAAAATGAAGCCGGAAGTGCCACCGGAAGCGCGACGACGGAGCCTTCGTTTTTCAAAGATTCAGTCAAGAATCGACTCGGTCGTCGCGCGAGCACGAATCACTAGGGTAAAAAAAAAAAGATAATTCGAAAAGCGAAACTGATAAAAAGAGATAAGGGCTGAAAAGATAATGGGGATTGGGGTGGGGGAGGACGACGGTGGAACTACTAAATTTTAAGAACGGGGTGGGGGAGTGATTTTACTCACTTGAATCGGGTATATAAGTTTAAAAATAAATCGGAGACAAAATGAAAAGATGTACGAGATGGAGAAAGGGGGTAAGAAGAAGAAGAAGAGGTGATTTAACGAAACGAGAAGTAATAAATATTTCTAAGCTAAGCAACTCGAGGTTCCTGTCACAAAAAAAAAAATGCTTTTCTATGTAATGTTGGTGACGACTATTATTACTATTACATTTGAATTATTGATTATTATGATTATTATTATCATTGTGATTAAATATTATGATATTGTATTCGATACGTGCATGTGGTCATGTACTTATATTTATTATGGAATCGCGTAAATTTTTATGCCTTTATGCTAATACGAGAGACACATTTGACTTGCGCACAGAAAAAAAAGACGAGATTCGGTTAAATATAACGAATTGATATATGAGTGGGGTTAAAAAAAAACAAAAAAAAAAAAAAACTTGCGAATTTTATCGTCCGGTTGCTGTCATGAAAATTTTTTTTCGTGTCTAATAATGTTCCTGCCGCGAGTTGGTCGAAAAAATATTATTATTATTATTACTATTATTACTAATTGGTGCGAGTAAAATTGTTTTTTTATATATACGTATATTAATATATTATATATATATAATTATACTGTCGCGATATCGTCCTCACCGATCGGCTAATCTCTAATTATATACGCTCATATCGCGATTATTTAAGCTAATGAAAAAATTGGCACCGCGTGCCCAAAAAAATGCACCGGGCGATATTAGAGATAAATCAAGTTAGCGTGCGCGCGCGCAAAAGTTTTTAAAGACTGCTAAAATCAAAGCTTACTGCCTAAGGCTAAAGCGAAACGATAAAGAAAACAAAAAAAAAATTGTGTTTCAAAAACAACAAATCTCGTGAAGAGCAAACGAGATTCAAAGAATGAGAGACAAAAAAAGAGATAAATGGTAAACGAAAAAAAAAATTAAGAAAGGAAGTTTTTTCACAAAAATGAAGTAAGTTTTAGAGGGAGGGAAATATTGAGAAATGAGGCAACGACAATCTCGCACCGCACACGCGCGTTCGTGAGATCAAGTTCTTTCTTTCTTTCCTTCTTTTTTCTATTTTTTTTTTTTTTTTTTTTTTTTATTAAAAATGGCGCCTAAAAAGCCCTTTATTGTGATTGATATCGGATTGTTATTTTTTCAAAAAAATAAAAAAAAAAATGTCGCCAAAAATTTTCACATTTTTCTTACTTAATAAAAAAAAATACCGCTCTTCTCTTTCGATTCGACATTATCGTTAAATTTTGAAAAAATATTTCAATAAACCAAAACTAGGTACGCGTTTTATAATAAAATCAGTAATATATTGCAAAATAATTGAAAACAAAACCCGAGATTATGAAAAAAAAAATGAATAAAATTGCATTTTTTTTTTAAATGAAAGACAGCAAATTGTTGACAGTAATCGATACATACCCTCACTGAATAGAGGTACACACGAATTTTAAATAGAGGAACGAAAGAGGCGAACGGAGATGATGTCTATATACATATATTATAATTAAGTCATTTTTAAACTGATTACGTACGTACGCGTGTACGCAGATATGGAAGTGAAAAATTTTTTTTTTTGCGTTTTAAGTTAGAGAAAGGATATTGCGTGATAGAGTAACCGAACCTCGCTACTAGCTGTTCCTAAATCAACAATGAATGAGTGATAAAGTGTGTGCAGATATAAGGAATGATTAAGAAACTATTATTGCGTTGGAGTTGACTGCCACGCCCGCTAAACCACTCTGCTCGTCGATATCAGCAGTCGCCTTTTTTTACCTTACTTTTCGTTCATTTACCATTTTTGCTCATTAGATGAATTTTTTCTTATCTTTCTCTTTTTTTTTAAAAAAAAAGCTCACTACATTTTCTTCATTAATTATTAAGCATCAAAATTAAATTTTTTTTCACGAGAAAATAATAGATTGTACTATTTATAATATAAATTGTACAATTTACAATTGAGATATAGTAAAAGTTACAATCTGTATAGTAAAATTCACTATCTGTAGAATAAGATTTAAATTGTAACATTTACAGTCTAGATTATACAATTTAGGAGCTGCATTGTAATACATACAATCGGCAATTATAACACAATCTGTAGGATAAAATTTACAATCTGTATGGTAAAACTTACAAATTGTTTTGTAAAATTTACCATCAGTATGGCAAAATTTACTATCTATATTGTAACACATACAATCTGTATGGTAAAACTTACAATCTAGATTGTAATGTTTACAAAATGTATGTCAATAGTTACAATCTGTATTGTACGATTTACAATCCATAAACAGTGTAATCTATTTTTCTCATTACAAAAAATCAAAAAAAAAATTTTTTTCTCTATGAACTTCAGTTTTTTTTAAACACCCAAGTAAAGTTCGTCAACAATGAGAAGAAGACTTTTTAAAATTTTTCTCTGTCGTGTTTGAGAAAGCAAAATAAAAAAAAAATTTATCTGATGAGCAATGGTAATCGTATTCTCAACTATCAAGAGCGTCATACGAGGTTGTCATTCCATCTAACTTCTTACTGAGACGAAGATCGAAAATGCATTTTTCATGAGAATGCATTTTTTACAGGGTCAAATATGCGATAGAGAAGAAGCAATTTGTGCGGTAGAATGATATATAAATAAAATCTGATTTTACCAGGTCGCGCACAATCAGTAGGATGGCAAATCTAATGTGACAACATTTGTGTATGAACATTGTAATTCTTAAAAGTTACGCAAGTAAAAAAAAAATAAAAACTATCATACGCAAACAATAAACATTTTGAATAACAAATCTTGTTTATTTGCCAAAAAAAAAAAAATACTGAAATCATTTCCTGATGAATAAAAGTTTATTTCCCAGTAAACTATAAGTAACGTAAAACATTTCGTTGCGTCTGACTGCAAATGACCTTCTCCACTTGAACATTATTATCTCTATTTCAAAAATATTCATTATATTATTAATTTTTTTACTTGTCAATTAAACTCTCTTGCAATGTGAAAAATTTGTCTCTCCACAAAAGAATTTTCCACTCAGATATTAATTTATTTAAAAATCTATATTCAAAATTAAAAATTAAAATCGACATTTCAATTTCAAGAACACAAATTATAATATAAATTGTAAAAAGTTATTTTTGTAAACATATTATTCTTTATTTATGACATTGTTATGAAGACACTTGGAAAGTACAAAAATACCAAGAAATCGAAAAAGTTGACTATATATATTGGTTAGCTGACAATCTGCTCTCATTCGCAGTGTGTCCGAGTTCTAATTTCTCATTAGAGAGCATTTTCCACAACGCCATTAATAGAAAATCACGATTGGCATGACAAACTCGTATGATCGTTTTAAAAAAAGAAAGCAGCCCGTAATAAATCTCGTCATTAAACGAAGCGTCACTATATAAAGCGAAAGCAGAATCTCAACGAGCAGAGTTAAAACGCGGGTCTCGAGCGCCATTTTTATTAAGTGAAATAAGTAAGCGAAAGGGTGTAATGTCGGAAAAGTTTTCGTTGAGTTTTAATGTGTTACGTAATTATTATTGATCCTATTGATTAATTATTTATTACCATTGCGGCGAATTATTATCGAAAAAAAAAATCGATAGGAATCTTTATTATAAATTATTATTATTACGATTATTATCATTATTGCGATTATTATTATTATTATTATTAACATTATTATTATTATTATTATTATCATCTTTATTATTATTATTATTATCATTATTATTATTATTATCACCATTATTGTGATTATAATAATTATTACTATTATATTTATTGCATTGATGATTATTATATCGATTAAATTGTGAATTTGACCGATTACACGATAAAAGATACTAAATGATAATGATAGTGATTAATTCTTGTGAGAGATTGCCATGTGTATATCTATGTGTACTCACTATGGGGTCCCATGTGGTCGCCCGAAACGCCGACCCATTACCTAAACAAAATCGTCATTTAGGTCCAGCGTTACAATTCCGCGCTCGAATCAGAATGCGTTCTCGCGGGTCTTTTTGCTCTCGCAAAAACAGCTTTTTTTTCATTCTTCGAGACGCCAAAAGACTTGCGATAAAAATGTGCAATCATTACCATACATAGATATTTCTATAATGTTTGTATACAAAAATTTATGTATGGTTTAAAAACAATTTATGCATTAACGTAAAGACTCGTTCGTCTTTAAGTTAATGCAAAACATTTTATATACAATGCAAAGAAAAAAAAAATACTATATATAAATAAGTGAAAAAAAAAAAAAATGAAAAACGCATCGATCCGAGCGCCGTCCCGTCTGGTCTATACAAGTATTAAATATGAAAATTTTCTACTTGTAGAGAAATCAGTATTTGTGTGTGATGAACGCATGATCCGTAAATGATGATTTCAACTAGGTTAAAGGGCCGGTGGAATCATGTTCCTACTAGGTTTCATATCTATGCAAGTAATTAAATATACTACTAATTATAAAGATAACGATGAAGGATACGAGGATATTATATATTATTGGATATATATATAAATATAAATATATATATACATAATGATATGACTAGCTGTAGTCTAACACCGCGACATACTGTTTTTTCCCATCCCATTTTTGGATACACGCGAAACACAAAATACACTTGTATACATTCACAATTGACACAACACTAACACACACGCGTGCGTGAAAAATTGTTTACGACCTGTTTTACGAGCTGGACAATATAAAAAGAGAACACACAAAAAATATTACAAGAAAACAAATCAAACCAAAATCATCAAAAAAAAAAAAATTTAAACTTGTTAGCGCGAAAGTAAAGCAGATGAATAAGTAACAAAAAGGAAACAAAGAAAAATTTACGATGGCTCGTATTATTCGCAAAAACACACAGGTTAATCTCCCAATATATTCCTTCATAGTATCATTAAGAGTGATACTTGAGTCAACCAAAAACCTTACGAACAACCTGTTCTCAAATCCATGCAGAAACGAATCAACTTTGCGTAATGACATTATTAAATAGGAATTTCATAAAATGCAATGACTTTATTAATAATAGAGATTTAAATTGCGAAAGCAATTTATGAAACAATTTGTAAATGATTGCAAGGACATGATCCATCATTAAAACGATAAAATTTAAAATATTTTTAACTTGGTTTCAAACAATTGTCAAGGTCTTCTATATGATACACTGATGATTTACAAAAAGTTTTTCATTTTCACCCCCTCATGCCAATTATCCCAATTCCTCCCCATCCCTCACCCTTCTAAATCTCACATTCGTTGTAATGAATGCAAAAAAAAAAAAGATTGCGAAACACGCCAGGTACTCGTTGTTTTTCTAACGCCACTTTCGTACTTTAAGATGAATCACTCCAATCGTGCCATCGACATCTTTGTACTTGTAAAAACACATTTTTAGATTTTTAATTCAATTGTAAAATACGAGTCCTTATTTCCTATAATTATTGTCAATAGGAATATTTTTTTTTTATTTATTATTATTCATATTTGTGAAACATCTGCGCCTGTGATTCAAAAAATTTTTTAAAAAAACCTCAATTACGGAAATTAAAATTTCTTGGGAATAATTATACCCAATAAAAAAAACAATTCGAATGAAAATCACATATCATATTCTGCAATTATATAATAATCGGAAAAATTCATTCCAGGCGCGGATGATGCTTTTTTTAAGTGAGAAATATTGTACAATCCCTAACTTAAGTTAGCGACACGCTTGTGTGTTTCTGATCAAATGTGAGTGCCAGAATGACAAGAAAGTAGTAATAAAGAATGCGAACAGAATGTATAAGGCAAAAGTTAAATTCATAATCATGACATGAAAAAAAAAATTCAATCTTATTTAAAAAAATCAATGAAAATTAATTAAAAAAATAACTATTCGTCTAAAAGTACAAAAAAATGTTATCTACTTTTGCGACGAATAGATATTATCATCCATCAATGTTTGCATTTCGATTAACACAAATTTGATTTTATTTCCGGTACACATATGGTGAGTGTCTCATTTCCGTATTTTGAATATTAAGCCCTTTTCGTCGAAATTTGCATAGAAATGACCGATCGCACAACAAATGTCGCGTGACAATTTAAACATTGAAATGCAAATGGACCACTGAACAAGATTCGTTTGCCTGCTCAAATTTGATGTACCATCGCGATATATCGTTCGAATCTTGATGGGTATATATATATCGATTGAAATTGCATTTATATATTTTTTTCAAATAAAAAGAGATATGAATCTATCACAAGTCATGATTGTGAATTTAATAAATTAAGTAATGACTAATGAATTGTAAGAGCAATACGAAAAAAAAAAGAGAAAAAAAACCAATCAACACTTATGAACAAATTCTATTCTTTACAACCCGAGAGAAAGCCTTTAACAACACAATTCCCTGTACACTGCATCGCAAGCTCGTCTGGTTTTCTGAAAAACTCAACAAAAACTAAACTGTACTAAACCTCGACGTATTCTATTAAACGCTAGTTTATCAGAAAATTTAATTTGTGCCTTTTTTATTCAAAATATCCCTCTATCACATCCTTTTCGAATTTAGATATAATATAAATTATTTTATACTTTCACAGAAAATTAAAAGGCATTAAAACAAGCTGCAACGCTTATTATTTTTATCCAATTCTGCTTATTTTAATCCATTTTAGTATTAAAATAAGCAAAATTGGATTAAAATAATAAGCGTTGCAGCTTATTTTAATGCCTTTTAATTTTCTGTGTTTTTAAGTTATTGTATTTGAAATATTTAAAGTTAATTTAAATACATTTTACGTTAATTTTTTTTTTTTTGAAATTGAAAAATTCCAAAAAAATTAATTTAAAAACTGAAATAATTTCAAATATTAAAGTTTTAAAATAAAAAAATAAACTTTAGTTTCAATATAGATTTCAGTGAATTAATAAATACATTAAAGTCGATACATTGCGAAAAAGAATTTTAAACTAATTCAACAAACTTCCAGACAATTTTGAAGAACGGTAAGTCTTGAGATTTAATATTTTTATTTAAATTTTGTATATCCTCGAAACGCTTTGCCCGTCAATCTTATATTAAGTTTGATGAAACAATTTCTTATAATGTACTTTATAAAATTTCTATTAAATTATTTTTAATTTTTAGTTTTTATAAAATAAACGTCAATATTGTTTTTTCATCAATTTTATAAAAATTAAAATTATCTTCTTTCAAATTTTTAAAATGATCTAATTTAGCCTCGAATTTTATCCAGTTTAAAGTATAATTTTTAAAATAACGAGATTCGTAATAAATTTAAACCTTATAAACATAGAGAAAATTAAAAGGTATTAAAATAAGCGTTGCAACTTATTTTAATGCCTTTTAATTTTCTGAGCATACGAACTCTATAAGACAAAGGGAGTCAGTTTTGTCCTTAAAGGATAATCTAAAAATAATTTTTCGATTTTTTTCAAAAAAAACAACAATTCAATGAAAAATTTCATTTCATTTCTAAGGCAACCTTGAAATTAAAATTGAAAATTAAACCCTTAAAATGGTTTTTAAAGGATAATCTTCAAATGGCAATTTTTAATGGACAATTTTTCAAGGATAATCTAAGGCGAGTACAAATTGAATGGCAATATGGACAATGGAATTATTGAAATTGATGAAATGAAAAGAAGATCAATATTCAATATTTCCTTAATCTTGTCCAATATAACTTGATCCTTTTAAATAAGGGTCTCTCTCACAAATCGATATGGCTTCATTCTTTTAAAGACAATTTTAGTTATATTTAAAATCAGATCCGTAGTTTTCAATAGCATTAATTTTTTTTTCTTTTTTGTTGGTATAGAATTTCAAATGAAAAAAAAAGAAGAAGAAAAAGGAGACCATTTTCTTTGACGATATAGTAGATCACGAGAAACCTCTCGTATCGTATAGTGATCCTTCCTTCCATCAAGTGGATGGAAAAGACTTTCCAGACACTGCACACACGGACATTCGAGAAATACACAAGATAGTATATAGAGAGAAAGAGATATATATATATATATATACCTTCACGATAGGTGCGGCCTGAGGGGGATAGGTAGGGGGGGAGGGTGAAACTTGGAGGGCAAAAGAAAGCTGCGATGTCGTTTCGTCAGTGTTTGCTCGCGAGATGGAACGCAAATTAGGTTTGGACTGGGATCGAACCCAGTATCGAAATAAAAGAGTCACGTAAAATATATGTCATCCCCTGGCGGTGCTTGCCTTTTTACTTTTCACCAAAAAACCCCTTTTACCTTTTTCCCAATTCTCCGCTGAAAACCCCACACACATACCAAGTTATTCCTATATACATCATCCTACAAAAATATTCTCAACTCATAACATATATATACTTCAATAAAAACATTACTTTTATTATTCTAAATGAAATTTAACTTTTATTCCCCTTTTTCGACTTGCATCATTTTTTTAAATATTCCATAAAAGTATATCAATGAAAAAATGGTAACGCGATTATAAATCCCATTTACATAAATAACCAAAAAAAAAAATCCATTAACAAAATCAATAAGAGGTGAAAAAAAAGAATGTTTCATCTCAGAGAGGAAAGTTAAAATTGTCATTGCTTCATCTTCTGGATTTCATTAATATTTTATTCTCTTATTTAGTATGCTAACGAATTCCCAATTAAACGTGTTTTATAATGTAATTAACGCCACGGGATAGTGGTGGATATTACTAATTTTTTGCCGCTTCTCAAGATATCATTTTATACTAATTTTCACAGCATTCAAAACGTGTTCGACAAAGTAAATAACAATAAACAATTCAAAGCGCCTTCAGAGTCTACTTGGCATCTCTCACATATTCTGACACCGATCTGCAATACTATAACACATATATACACACAACCTTCTGCGAAATCGCACGACGACCCCAAACCTCCCACGTCGAGGTGAGTAGGTCTCTTAGCAGGCTGCCATCTCGGAATGCCTCTACGTCTATCTATGTATGTATGTATGTATATATATATGTATACCTGCGCGAACGATCATAGTTTCAGTCCTATTAGCAAGGTTAGCTATATATATGTACATTCGAGTAATTCACGTCATCAGTCTCAATTACTATGATTACTTCCCATCGCATTAGAAAAACAGCTTTTTAAAAGGCGTCAATTCCAATATACAATATATCAACACGTTTTTCATCCTTTTTTTTTTAATCATTTATCAAAACCGGACAATGAGAAACTCTAAATATATTTTATAGGGTCTACTTTGAAAAACAAAAATGGGAGTGCCAAATATTGTATTGTAAAAAAACTATTCAAGAAGGGAGTTAAAATTAAAGTAAAAAATCAACTCTAAAAATGATATTCTAAAATTAATATACTCTGAGCCCTAAAATTCTAATTTCCCTTCTACCTTATTTCATCCGAAAGAGTAGAACTTTTGTAATCTTTCAACAGTGAGTTAAATTTCAATTTTTATTCAAAACAAAAACTTCCTTTAGAAAATAGAAAGTGTTAAATAAAAAACGACTCACCGATCGATGAATCCCACGTTGAAGCAATGACTTAAATTTGTGAACCTTCCGCAATGTGATGGAGAAGATACGATGACAGCAAACAGACGAATTGTCCCTCTTCTTAGAACTGAAAATTTTAAGAAAAAAATATAATAATTTATTGTCCTATAGATTAAAAAAAAATAAATTGAAATTACTCGTAAAAAGAAATAAACTATTACATTGAAATAAAAATTGTGTACTCCATCGTTGTGAATTTATTTCCATATTATTTTCATTATTCATTTGTTTTTTTGCAAGGGATAAACATTCAGGTGTTAACTTATATTGAATTATCCTAAAATATCCTAAAGTACATAAAGTATCGTAAATTATCTTAAAGTACTTTGAAATAATGAAAATTATCTTGAAATATCTTGAGTTATCTTGAAGTATTTGAAGTATTTTGAATTATTTAAAGTATTTTGAATTATTTCAAGTATCATTAATTATCTAAAGTAACGTAAATTATCTAAAGTATCGTGAAATATCTTAAAATACCTTGTAATACTCTGAGTTATCTTCATATTTTAAAATATGCTGAATTATCTTGGAGTATTTTAAGTATTTTTTTTATTTATCTGAAGTATTCTGAATTATCTAAGGTATTTGTGAAATATTCTGAAGTACATGAAGTATCATGAATTATCTGAAGTATCGTAAAATATCCTAAAGTATCTATTGACCGAATTCATTTCAAATCAGACAGGCTTGACTTGGTCGGAGCTGAAAATAATTTTCACCTTCAAAATGTTGTTCTTCAATGAATTTTAGACGACACGTATTTTTTTATTTTGCTGAAAAAAATTTTTTCTTTAAGTTATAAGGAGTTCAAATATATAAGTCGAGAACTTCGTTTTTTTTTTAAAATGAAGAGAAAAAATTTTAAAAGTGATGTAACTTTGTGAGTAATTAAGATAATTCACTTTTTCCTTTTGTGTCTGAAAGGACTTTTATTCTTCTTTCGAAATCTATTGGAAAATTTAAAAAATATTTAAAAATAACAACATGGCGGCCATTTTACTAAAAACCTTTCATTTGAAATTACTCAAAAACCCCCACCTTTTTTTTGCTTAAAATTTTTTTGGGAATTGTGTTCATATAGGGAGGAATATTGCCTAAAAAAATGTCTGTTGTCATTTTTGTCCATCTTGTGTTTGTTCAACAATATTTGCAAAACATGGATTAAAAGCTCACATTTCTTGCTTTTTAAATATCATTTATAATAGTTTCATAAATCTGTTTGAAATAGTTCTTTTTTGTCTTTTTCCATAGCAACAATCAAATAATAATTAATAATCTTTACTGTCACAGAGGTTAAAATTGTTAATTTTTTGTGTTCAGTAAAATAATAGCGAGTATTAATATTAAGAAATTAAAGGATCAGTTATTATTTTTTAAAAAGCAAAAACGAAGTTCTCGACTTATATATTTGAACTCCTTATAACTTAAAGAAAAAATTTTTTTCAGCAAAATAAAAAAATACGTGTCGTCTAAAATTCATTGAAGAACAACATTTTGAAGGTGAAAATTATTTTCAGCTCCAACCAAGTCAAGCCTTATTGATTTGAAATGAATTCGGTCTATTAGTATTCGGAATTATGTTAAAATATTCAAAAATATTCTGAAATATCCTGCACTGTCTTGAAGTGTTTTGAATTATCTGAAATATCCTTAATTATCTGAACTAACGTGAATTATCTGAAGTATAGTGTAATATCCTAAAGTACATTGTAGTACTCTAAATTATCTTAAAATATTTAAAAATACCCTGAATTATCTACAAAAATTTGAAGTATTTTTGATTATCTAAAGTATCGTAAAATATTTTGCAATATCCTAAATTATTTTAAAGTGTTTGAAGTATTTTGAATTATTATAAAGTACTGATGTAAATGTTAACTCTTTTTCTAAAAAAAAATAAAGTTTCCAATTATTTTATCTTCTAAAATCTCACAAAGATTTCACCCTGAATGTTTATTCTATTGGAAACAAATCTTTTTGAACTAAATTTCTGTATTTCATCGTGAAGAAAAGAAGAAAAGTAGAAAAGAAAACCGCCCGCCCCTCTTTATCTATTATCTATAATGTAGTTTGAAAAATAATGTCGAGTGATTTGTTACTTTTCCTCGATTACATCATTGATTCACGTTTGGTTAAACTTATTTCAAATTCAATGGTAGGGAAGTAATAATTTAAAGAAAATTCAAATTGCCACTTCACTCACTCTTTCTTTCTTTCCCTCTCTACAATCGACACAAAATTGGATATTCACAAAGACAGCGATACACAAAGAACATTAGACCGGAAATCGACACCCCTTTTTCTAAAGGAAATGACACAGAAGTATATAGGTTTTCCTAGAACAAAAGAAAAAAAGAAAAAGAAGAAAAAAAAAGCATCTACCTATACACAGTTTTCCTCTTATCCTTTCGCATTTCCACTCAATCGGATCGAGTACATCTTCGCCATTACATACTCCTTCAGGATACTACTTGTCAGTAAAGAAACTGTATACTGAATAGTTTCCTTTTCACAGGATATATACATACTTTGGTTTGACAAGCAGAATAAAACTCGGCATTTTGCGAAATTAAAGAATATAAAAGAGATGCGTAAAGATTCACTATTTTAGATCCGCTATTTCTCAATTACATAATAAAATTTTTTTTTATAATTGTAAATTAATACAACGTTGTTTTCACCTTTTAAAATGTCATTTGTAGAAATGTAAATTTTTTTATGATAAAAAGTGCGTATATTACATTAAGGAGAATAATTTTGAGCAAAAGATAGAGGGTGAAGATAACGATCGCTAACGAAGAAAGAGAAAAAAAAACGTGTATATATAAGGATGTATGACATTTCGAATTGGCGATTGGTTGTAAAAGCTGGGCTTAAGCAAACAGGAAATGTTAATGCAAATTAATATTCATAACTGTCTTGAAGAGTATTTTATGGTGAAGCGGATTTCGAGTCGAGACACCCGTTATAGAGCCTTTAGTCACTACACAGAATATAATGCAGCATATATAGGAAACATTATATTTCCCGGCAGGTCGTATCTTCTCGTTATCCGCGCGCGATGATGCTACCCGCGTCACGTTTTTAATTTCTATCATAGTGGTCTTAGTTCATTTTCACACCCACCCTCTACCAAGTATTATGTTCGTCGAATGTCTAATAAGTAAATAATAACTTCTTACCTTACATAATTTACTGGAGTGTAAAAAAGTCCCTCTCTGAACTGCGTGTTCAACGTGCGGTACAATATTATCGCTCAAGGACCATTCTTTCTCTTTTTTTTCGTCGTCGTCGTCGTCTCCTTCAACACATATCCTTCTCCTTAAACTCCTGTCCGAATCATTAGCTGCAATAAAATTAACAAATGATCACTTCAAATATATTTCTTTCTAATTTATTAAGGTGTTTGCGAACGCTCTACAAGCGATCGTTACTAAAACTTTACTATATATATATATTTGAATTTGTACCTCCGCATGTAATAAAATTTAAAATAAATAAAACATTTTTGTTTCACTAAATAGATTTAACTGAAACAATTAAAAATTTTATAGACGGATTAAAAAGCTGCTTTCACAAATATGTATCACAATGCTTTGACGAAAATCACCAAAAAAGCAAAAAAAAAAAATTTTAATTATATAAAAAATCATCATTTTGGAATGTGTGTATTTCTACTCCAGAACATAACATATAATTTTTTGCTTCTAGGCCACTTTTTTCAGAGCACGTCACATTTATGCGAAAGAAGCAAACCGATTATAGATATGTTTAAAAATCGTAAAGTATCTTCATGACGTAGATAGTAAATTTTCTAAGTCTAAATAAGACTTTATGGCTTGATGTCGTTAGAGCACTTCAGTAGAAATGTAAACATACGCGTGTATATACGTACCAAGGTATATCTCGCAAAATAAAACGCGACATTGAAGAGCGAGGGGTTGGTATATAAGGTATCTTGTAGCGCATATGAATATGTAAGGGATGAAGGTATACATATATATATATAACCTATACGAGGTCTTGGCTTCTTACTTAGGATGCATGTGTTTACTTTTAATATATTTTCAGACCATGTTGACCGAGACGTGCTTTCGCTTCGTATATATATATACGAAGAAATCGACCTACACGGTGACGATAAAGTATTCACTTTGCCCAACCATGTATAAAACTACGGTTTGAAATTTTCCCAATAAACGGCTCAGCAACATGATATTACACTGAGCCTGGGAATCCCGGAAATTGCTTAGGATTTTATGCATATGAAAATTATTATTAGGGATGGAAGGAGACAACCAGCTTACTTTGTGTATACACTTTAAAAGAATGTTGACAATTATTTTATATCATCGCAAATATTTGAATTAACATATCAAATTTAGTTAATACATCATCTATTAATAAAGACGTAAAAGTGCTTTTTAAAAGGCTTTTTAAAATTTTTTCTTCATTTACGATTTAAATATGAATTTTTAAGCATATAACTTTTAAGTAAAAATGGTTTTTTATAATAAAAAAAAACGTATATAAGATTGTCAAGACCATTAAATAAAACCTTCAAAGGCTTTTAAAATTAAGTGAACTTTTTTTTTTTTTTTTTTTAATACATAGAGTTAAATGTATATGTATATATATATACATTACACGACGAGAGCAGAAGATGCTGATAACAATGCAAAAATAATTTTCCGTTGAGCGAAAGAAATCTTTTGGATAAAATAAATTTTTTTTTTTCTATATATATTCTAGAGCGCGCAATATCTCTTGGAAGAAAATTTTTATTTCTTTTGAAATGAAAAATTGAATTTTATATATCAGCTAAAAAGTACTCAAGAAAATGTGCTATATAGTCAAATATATATTCTTCTTTATCTATATTATAGGGTACCCATCAAAAACAAATATATTTATTAAATTTCAAAATCCTACATCTAAATTTTCTTTTCCTTGTAAAAAAAACAATTGATGACAAAAAAAAAATAATTGAAGCACAACCAGGATTCGAACCCTAAAACTTCGCATCGCAAATCGAGAACATTAGCAACAAGACTACAACAATTCTTAACAGAGTGCGTTTTTAAAATTTTTTTTCAGTCTTAAAAAAAATATTTATAGAAAAAACAAAGTGTTATTTTAACTCAGAATTTTTGTTAAAATGATGCTTACTAAATTTTATTCTTGTTGAGGGCGCCACAGTCTGTTTTCTTTATTTTCACTGTAAAAAGAAAGTCTTATTTTAAGGCCGAAAAGAGGTCTTATTTTAAGAGGCAACATTTTTAAGGTAGCTTTGCTGAATTTACGCAATGCAATTTTCATTACAACTACTAGCGCTGATTTTAAGACTCATCTTAAAATAAGATCTTCTTTTTACAGTGTTGATCAGTGAAATACAGTAAAACTCCGTTTATCCGAGGTGGTGTACCAGTAGGAGATTCTGTATTATCTGAGTCTAGTCTACGTCATCCGAGTTATTTTTAATTTTAGTTTTTTATAAATATGAGTTTATTTTTAATAAATTCAAATTTTTTAAATTATATACAATATTATTAATAAATACAATATTATTTTCCCGTTTGTCATAAATAATAATTGTTTAAACAATAATAATGTTAAATTGTAATAACAATTCGGATTATCCGAGTTTTCGCCTCATCCGAGGTAGGTCCGGTCCACATTAGCTCGGATAACCAGAGTCCTACTGTATTGGCAGTAAAAATTTACTGTTTATTCAGTATAGAATTTCATTGTTTGCCAGTAACTTTTTCTTTGCTTATTGAACTAGTTAATCTGTTTTACCAACATTTGATAAAACAGAATTATTGATTTTCAGTGAAATTTTACTGAATGATTTAGGGGAAATTCAATATCGATTTCTAATCCTTACAATTCTAATATTAAAAATTCTCTATTCCGTATACCACAATCCCTTATTTTCAAGAGTATTTCGAATCATCGAGGAAAATTCTCATCGGGATCTCGATTAGGAAGTTGAAAGGCGCATTGAATGCATATACAGAAAGCGAGGCCATTCGTCTGAGGTGGAAAAGAGCGAGAGAGAGATCGAGCTACTTCTCACTTAAATCACAGGAGGGTTGGTTATCTCCGCGGTGGCGCTATGCAAGAGAGGATTCGACAATTCCAAGTCTCTCTCTCTCTCTCTCTCTCTCTCTCTCTCTTTCGCCAAAGGCGCAGGGACTTTCAGCAAATCCACCTTTCTCGGCATATATGCATATACGAACTTGCGACCAAGTTACACCAAGTGAAAAGAAAAAAAAAGATAGGACAATATGAGAAAAAGGGAATAAAAGAAGAAGGAGATGGAAAAAAAGAGAAAGGAAAGAAATGAGAAAAGAATAAGGAAAAGAAAAGAGAATCTAAGGAAGAGAGCCATATAGTCCAAGAGGAACTGATGGCAAAGCAGTGTGAGAGAGAGTCCTCTTAGCGCATTTCAATATATGCGGCAAAGGCCTTTGAGGTGGACGGGTGGCTGAAGAACGTTTGGGGACGGGTAAGAAGACAAGGAGGGAGAGAGCTATTGATTTTTCTTTTAATCTCGTCGCGGGAAAGAAGGACTCGGGGTCTTGCGGGAGGTGAAGTGGGTGGGTTTGAGGAAGCGGTTTGAAGAGCAAGAAGGGAGGGTTACTTATTTGAATGTGTCGTCGCACGCCCCGAGACAAAAACGATAGAGAACCCGTGAAATCGATGTGATGGTCCTCCTCCCTCATCCCCAACGATTCTCTCAACCATAAACACACACACACATTTCACTTCGTGTCGATTACTTTCTTTTTTTTTCTCTCCAATCTTTTTGTTTATTCTTAACCATCAATTGACTGATATAATAAATCAAGAAACGATAAATCAAAACACTCTCTTCTATTAAGGTTATCTATACGATCTGCAAAGACTTAAAGTCAAATATTATATTGAATGATAAGCAGATTCGACAAAAGACTACGCTCAAAAAGATATTTCGCGAAAAAGATGTTCATGGATACTTGGATTTTAGCTGCCTCCTCCATGACAAATGGAGATAAATCCTCTTCTCCGTTATATTATTTCGATAAAAATCGAATTTTTTTTTATTTTTTATAAAGTAAAAATAAAAGATTTGCAAACATATTTTAAGAAACAAAAATTATTAAATAAAATCAGAAAATTTTCTATCGCTCATTTTTATTCATCATTTTTATAAAAGACGAATATATATAGATTTATATTAGAGTTTCTCAAACTCATAGCTAAAATCGGAATATATTAAAAAACCATAAGCGCGCGGGTAACATGTAAGTATAAAGTTCAGGAAACGCAATAAGCGTAACGCAATAAAATTGTATAGTGTCTTCCGTTATCCATATAGGACTCGGCTTGGCGTTGCGATGCAAAAACCCTGGTGAAAAAAAAAAATCAGCCTCGTAGTCGAAGCCACCGCGGGACTAACGGCACAGGGGTGGCAATGACGGAAAAGACAGGGAGTCACCCTACTTTTTTGAGCCCGGCCCGTGGGGTAAAATATTGATTTTTTTTTTATTTTATAATTAGGGGCGCGCACCCCTTAGCTGCCAGAAAAACACGTCACCCAGATCAGAAGGACACAGCCGGCTATCCCTCACACTTCGACATGTAGAACCCTCACACTTGTGGTCCAGATATTATATATATGTTTCCAATAATATCTAATCAAAAAATGTAAAATTGTATCTAGATTTATTTTTTTTTTTAAAAAGAAGGTCGCTTTTTATGTAAATTGGTACTTTGATGGGGGATAAGAACATTATTCTCTTGGAAAGTGAGTTGAACTGATTTTTCCTCGGCAGGGCATTATCCCCGTTCGGGACTATTGATGTACCTATCAAGGTGTTTGAAAGAAAAAAAAAAGGTGTTATTTATCGGAAGAGAGTCTTATATAGGGGGCGCATTACGCAATAAGAGGCTCTTACTACTGAAAAACCCTATTGTATTTGAAAAGTGTCCCTCCTTTTCTTTCTCTCTTCCTTTGGAAGTTTTAGTTTACTGAAGATACCAGTCGAGACGATAAAAATCAGCAGCACCAGCAACACTCTCGCAGATTCGTTTCCCCACAAGTTTTTTTTTTCTTTTTTTTTTTTTTCAAGAACCGCGAGAGAGTTTCGTTGCAACGGGGTGGTTGTCAACGCCGCGCCGCACGTCCTCGGGAGGGGATTCCCTCCAGCCCAGCAATGTACAAAAACGGGGAGGGGTGTGCAGCCCCTTTATCCTTTTTTTTTTTTTTTTTTTCTCTCTCCCGTCCCTATATTCCGTCAGAGGTGACAATTCTTCATCGTCCTCACTATACCCAGCAAGCCACCTCGTTCTCCCGTATAC